TTGATTTTTATGAAAAAAATAAGGAGCCATTTTTCATAAACATTGAAGGCACATCCAGAACATTTTCCTGAGTCATTCTCAGAAATGAGGCCGTATTCCAGGTAAACTAGAGTGCTTTTAGCTAATAAGCTCTGCTTTAAAACGCAGCACTCGTCTCTATTCGGAACCTGTGTTCCAAGCCAAAGCTCATTTGCAATCCTGAGTCACTTGCTCTCAACCTGTCCAGCACATTAAAGCATAAATCCATGTCACACTGATATACGCTTTGGTTAATGAGTTTGGGTGCCCTTTCTTGGCTATGCATACCTACTCTACCACAGGAATCCTTGTTAAAAGGTAAAGATAAAAATTATAAACAACAATGTGACAACAAATACATATCTATCAACAAGTGAATCTAAAAACCAAGTGAATAAAAAATCTGATGGACAGAATGAACTGGTGAATATAATAGAATCAAAGGCATAGAAAAGAAGTGGACTGTCAACTCTCTGGGGGAAGGGGTGTGGGGGGTGCAGGAAGAGACTGGACAAAAATCTTACACCTATGGTTAAGGACAGTCGGGCGTCGGGGGGAATAAGGGCATGGGGTGGGGTGGGAACCGGGTGGAAGGGAGCTATGGGGGGAAAAAAGAGTAACATCTGTAATAATCTGAATAAATATTTTAAAAAAAGGGAGACCACAGACAGTACAAGGTCATATGAAGACACAGGCAGAGACTAGCATGATGTAGTTACAAGCCAAGGAACACCAAGGATTATTGGCAGCCATCAGAAGCTGGAAGGGGTAAGGAATGGAGGGCTTGTGGGTAGAGCTCACACCTTCATCTTCTACATCTGTCCTATAAACAAACACTCAGTTCGTGGTAATTTATTATGGTAGCCCCAGGAAACCAACACAGATCATACTACTCTACTTCTTGTATGTATTTTGAAATCTCCATAACTTGCAAAACATTTTTAATAGCATATTCTTCATTTGTGAAGTGAGGCTGTGGCAAGCTGCGAGGCTCCAGAAAAGCCCTGAAGAAGGAACTAACTGGACTCATGAGTTGAGTTAGAATTATGGACATCCTGTGATGTCCCCTCCTCTCCCTGAATGCCATGGCCCATTTGGTCCTATGGGTCCCCTGCTCTCCCTCAAGACCCCTCTCCCACTGGGCTGCTCCTGGTCCTGAGACCCTTATGAAGACTGTCTATCTAAGAGTTTGCATGGACCATCTAGGTGGCCCCTGCTGTTTCATGCCATCATGTAGATCTCAGGGCACTTGCAAAGGCCTCTCCCTCTCCATTTTCCTGTCTGACTTTTTTCTTCATAGCCCTGTTCGCACCTGGCGTGATAGATCTCTTTCCTACTGCTATCATTCTCCTTCGTGTCAACCTGTGTGCATTATGTAGGATCTTGACATCCATTTTGTGTGACACCAGGGCTCTGAATACATAATAGAGAAGTGGGCAGAGAGGAAGGGCAAAGCAAATGACTGTGGATAGGTCAAGTAAAGATCCCAGAATCTCCTGAGCAGCCGTGACCGCGCCCTGACCTCAGATAAACTCTTCCCTAACAAGAGAGCAGGTGGTGTGCACACCTGGTAGTCTCTAAAGTGTCAATGTGTCCCTAGTGAATGGAAAGGTGTGCCTGTGTGCTGAAGTAGACAGAGGGATCCTGGGAAGCACTGACCAGGTCCCATCCTCTGTGTCAGCCCCCCCAAGTCTCATGCTTACTTGGAGCAAATGTGACAGGCCCTGCTGCCCATGCCCATTGTCCTCCCCGATGATGAGCACCTGAGAAACAGCAGCTCCAACTCTCCCAGGGACAGCGCCAAACCGTCCTAATAACTCAAGAGGAAGCCAACATGCTGAGTCTGCTTTGTCCTACACACAATGTCAACACCAGGCCTGAGAATGTCCCCAAGCTGTCAGGTCCCCAGCTAAGAAGACCCCATGGACATCATCCTTTATACTTACCCTGACATCCGGCCTGTCCAAACCAAACAGAGGCAAATGGGGTGGTGTGGCACACAGACTTTATTCTGACCACCCCTACCTCCTGGGTCCAAGCCCATATCCTGACAACAGAATGGGCTCACTCAGCACTTAGAAAGACCCTCTTGTGTGCAGTGTTGGTGTAAGGATGCCAACGCCACTCCACATCTGCTGTGGCCTCCTGTTCCAGCGTGCCAAGGCGAATCATGTATACTGGTAGAGGGGAACAGAGACATTATCAACTATACAGCCAGCTTTTCCCCACCAACAGACCTGAGATAAAGTCCAAACTCACACTTGAGCTCAAAGCGAGGGCCAACTTCGGTCAGCTCCACATTGCGGTGGTTGGTCTTCCTGTACACATGGTGTCTGGGGCAAGGGGAGGCAGGGCAGGAGTGAGAGGAGGCAGGAGCAGCTATAGGTCAACAACCAATAGTATAGGGACACAAAGGTCAGGATACAATCCCAGAGCCCAGCCCATGGACACACCGGAAAGAGATGTAGTCATTCTGGTTTGCAAAGGTGATGACCCGATGGCTGTCTTCTTTGGGCACAGGGAACAGGTAACGAAGTATGTCAGACACCTGGGGCAGAGGGAAGAAAATTGGGGAATGCCCAGCCTGGCATCGCCTGCCCCCAGCCCTAGTCCCATGATCCCAGACTCACCCGCTTGCCCAGACGGGAGGAGAAGCCATGAATGATGAGGTGAGGTTTGGCCTCTGACACGGTGCCCAGGTCAGGGATGTCATGCCGCATAAGCACATTGCATAGTGTGAAGTAAGCAGTGGGGCCAAAGGGCAGGTGACTGACAATGAACCCCACTGGTGGGGCCAGATAGGCTGTCAGAGACTGTCTGCTCTCAGATGGCCAACCCGGCAAACACCTTGCTCCCTCCCACCAGCATTACCAGGTGTGCCACGATGCTCATGGATAACTATCAGGTCGGTGACGCCATTAGCTTTGCAGGCTCGCACCAGTGCCCCCACCTCATGTCGGCCACGGTTCATGCGCTGGGCACCAGGAAACACCAACTTCAGCTCCTGTACGTGTACACACACTAGTTAGGACTCAGGCCACTGGTACCTGAGCATCTTCCACTCCCTGCTTCTTTTGATACCTTTGCAAACATCTTGAGGCGTGAACTGGGGTCTCGGGAAGTCGTGATCATGACCTTGGGATCCTCAACCCCTGCCCATCGATATTCATCATCCACATGATTGGTCACACCTGTCAGATGCATGAGGGGCAAGAACATGAGATTATCTTGGGAAGTGAAATACTAACTTGGGAGTGGCAGAATCCATTCAGAGCTGCACCATCTGACAATATCTTCAGCGATAGGATGCTCCACACCCCACTGGGCAATAGGGTGGCACCAAGCCATATTGGCTACAAGCACAAGTTTAATGCAGAACTGAATTTTCTAATTTGATTTAATTTCACTCATTTAAGTTGTATTTATCACACAGGGCTAATGGCTATTGTGTTAGCATAAGTACAGATTCTAATAAGGCCAAAAGTAACAGACTCCTATTTCTCCTAACAAATATTTACATCATTTGTGATTCCTTTCAGATGTGTTGAATAACACAATGAGTAAAATATTTGGGTGCTAATGAAGTGCTGAGAGCTCGGAAAATGGCAGTGAACATAATGGACACTATCCTGTCTCAGCAAAATTCACATTCCAGTGAGGGAGACCAAAGTAAAACAGAGAGTAAGTTGGGTGGTATCACATGCGTCTCTAATTGGAATTGGGAGCACTCAGGACGAGCTCCTCTGAGTAGCCATCAGGGCAGAACCATGAAGACTCTGGGGCACAGTTCCAGGAACATGAGTCACAGAGCCTTTCCTCAAGGTGTCTGGGGAAAAATATGGAGGCCAGTGGGCCCCAGTGTTGGGGAAGGTCACCTTCACCACCAGCGTCGTCAAACTCCAGGGAACCATGTAAGGCCAAAGCCTCCCTACGTAACTCCGTGGGGATCAGGCGGTTCTCTGCAGGGGAGAGAGAGAGGGATAAGTGAGATATACAGATGAAGGTCTCAGTTAATACAACACTACGGCTTACAAACCTGATGGAAAAAATACCTTTCTTACTCCTTTCTGAGCAGAGATGATACGGGGGGGGGGCGCGAGTGAGAGGTTGGGGACTATTTCCATCTACATGCTAACCTGTTAACAATGGTTATAGGAAACAATTTGCTACAGTTCCTGAGTCGCATGGCTTGAAGGTTTTTAGACTGCTCTTTCTGTATAAAGGTGGACCAGAAATCCTGAAACCCTCTGACAACAAAGCTGCTAATCATGATGCTCTAGTTCAGAAGTTTCCTCTGTGAACTAAAGCTTGACCTGGCATAGGGGCTGGGCTGTGGGAACATCCACCTTGGGAGTATAGAGCTATACATGACTGTGCCCCTGGAACCAGCACTTGTTAGCGTGCCCTGGTGGAATTCTTGCACATGGAAGATACTCACCTGAAGGAAATCTCCACTATACTCAACGGACTTTAGAAACAATGCTGAACAAAAACATAAAACTGCCAAAGAATACATAATACCTAATACTACCTTTAAAACTAAAAATCAACCAATATGATTTAGGGATACAAATAAGTACCATATAAGCACACACAAAAAAAAACCAAGGAAACAGTTTATTTTTAAACAATATTCAATACTGTGGTTACCTAAGTTGTGGAAAATATTCCTGAATTTCAATACAGGGGTGGACAAAACTAGGTTTATAGTTGGCATTGTAACATTCTTTGAGTTAATAAAGCTATTGTAATAATAACCTGAATGTCTTTCCATACAAACAAATGTAAACCTCCTTTTGCCAACCCATGTATACTGACTACTTTCCATTTCTTAAGATGGGCGGATAGATTACAATTGTTTAACATTATGCTTAACATAAACATACACACACATATGTATATGTAGATATGTATATATCTAACAACTAGGAACATCTAAGTAATTTAAAATAATCAGATACTGAGTTGGTGTACCTTCAGATAAGAAACAAAGCTTCACAAGAACTAACACAACTGGGTGAATAAATATGTCATTTTTAATCAGACATGTGTGACAAACTCTTCATTAGTATGGCAAATGTAAAGTGGGGAAAACATTGCAAAATTAGACCCTAATTTACAACACAACTAAAATTAAATTATATACGGATTAACAGTTTAAAAATGCAAGGGACTCATAATACCGCTAAAAGACAGCAAGGTATGTTTTAGTACCTGGTACTAAAGAAGATAACGAGATGAAAAACTACAGGGAGTGGAACGTCTACAAGGACCATAGGGATAATTTTAAATTTGAGAAGAACTAGACACACTGTAAGCAAAATTAATAGACAAGCTGTCAAATCTCGATACTGTAGCATAAATGACAAGTAATTCATACCATCATCTGAAGGAGCACTTGCAAGCAAGAGAAAGACCCAGCAGGCAAAGAAAATGACCAGTAAATACTTGAAAAGACGCCCAACTATACTACCAACGAAATGCTAATTAAGTCACTTGGTTTTTCCATTGGGTTTTAAAATGCAAACCCGCAGTCTCTCTAAAGCTGGGTGACGCCGCCGGGCAGCGGGGACCATACCTTCGAGTGCGCGCCGCACCTTCTCCTTCCTCTCGTAGGCGGCGCGCTGCGCCTCCTCGCGGGCCTTGCGGTAGAGGTACTCTCGGCGAAGGCGCGCCTCACGGCGCAACTAGGGAACAGCGTGTCGGGTGAGCGCCTCTTTCTCCATGTACGCTCGGCCCCGGGGGACCACCCATCCCGAGCCCACAGACCTCATCCCCAGCCCTCCGCGAACCCCCAACCTCCAAAACAGATGCTCAAACATCCCTACCATCCTGGGCGCCGCTCCCACGTGGGTTTCGGAGAATCTGCGAAAGCTGCCGGAACTACGCAGCCCTCGCTTCCGCCCTCAACCTAGAAAGGGGTAGAGGTTCACTAAACGCTGCTGATGGGAGTCACAAGGCGACTGGCCAGCCCAGAAGCGCATGCTCACTGGAGCTACCAATAGGCAGAGGAAATGTCAAGATTTTGGCGGCCTGGGGCTGCCATTAATAAAGATGTCTTCTTTGGCTTCACCATTTGTCGCGGCTGTGCAGAATGTCCAAATTGAAGATGATGTACCGCTAGTTATGCCATTGGCGGCTTGAAATAGTGCAGCAGCTGTAAAGCCAGCACAACGGTAGGCCGCAGGATCGATTAACAGCTCCTTTTGGAATTAAATCTAAAGCCGTTTCTCCCTTAAAATGGTTGCTACGCCTCCTTCCTTCTCCACAGCGATAGCCCTACTTTTAAAATGCAGCCGCTTCCAGAGCGACTCGGAACCCCACAGCTCTCGCCAACTTTCCGGTTGGCTTATTCGCTTCGGATGCTAAGCGCAGAAAGCAACTACTCGGTTCCAATGCTGCTGCTCTGAGGACGCTTGCCCTTAGAATCCGAGACTCCCACGGCTTTCAACCCCACGGCTTCCACTACGTGATCGCTGGGCCCACAGCGACGGCGGATCCCGAACGTCCATTGGCTACACTACCGGCACGGTGAGCGGTGATTGGGCGACCTAGAAGGAGACTGGCTCCAGATTAGAGTGCGGTGGGCCATGGCCGCTGCCGATTTACGGGCGGAGCTGGACTCGCTGCTGCTGCAGCTGCTCTGGGACCTGGAAGAGCTGGAGTCAAAGCAGGTCATTTTGTTTGTCAGTTTATTTTGTTCATTAGATGCCATATATAAGTGAGATTATGTGATACTTATCTTTCTCTGACTTTCGCTCTCCAAAGCTCGCTACGCCATGGGTGCCAAGTCGGTAGGGCCCCTGCAATATGCCTCCCGCATGGAGCCCCAGGTCTGCGTCTGCACCGAGTGAGGAGCCTTGCCTGCTGAATCGGGTGGGTGGGGAATGCGCAGGGTGGGGCTGTCAAAGATCCATCCTCCCTTCTCTTTAAGCGAGGCGCAAAATGGACTCCAGAAGTTTCGTGTGGTAAGAGCCGGCACCCAGAGTCCAGAGGAGGTGGGGCCCCGTGAAGCAGGTGAGCCCCGCTTTCCATCAGGGACCCCTCCCGATGTTAAAGACAAAGTACAATTAAGGAGGTGATTTTATTCAAGTTGCTTTGATAGAGCGCCCCAGATTTGAAGATCAAAATGTCTCAGCAGAGTGGTTCTGGCCTTAGACTTTTATAGGGAGAAATAGGTGAAGTCTTTTACAGTTGGGATTGTTTTGTAGTTACAGGAAGTCTCAGTCAGTTGGAAAGAAAATGTTTATCTCTTTCAGAAGAACAAACTTTCAATCTCAGCTAGCCATTCATAAAGTACAGGGAGTTGAGGGTCTGTCTGACCTTTCAGCATGTTCAGGCAAAATGGGAAAGTTCAGTTGTGAAAGCCGCAACCTGCATGGCTAGGGTTCAGGATCTGGAGAAGGGCCACGCACAAATGAGGAGACTAGACAAGAAATAAGAATTTGGAAATCATGAGGATCAGGCGGAAAACCGCTCTCTAGTGGAAAGGCTTCACTGGGGCCCAGGCCCTGTTAGATTTTATTTAATTTTAGAACACACATATTGCCCTTAGTCAGGCAGGCAATCTGGTAGCAGAAAGACTATCTTAAAGGTCAGTAAATATTAATAAAGATTTACTTTGAGACTATTACATCAGGAAATTGCTTGAGCCAGCATTGTCTCAACAGAACAATTGGTGCATAGCTTTTAGCCCTTGCCAAAGCTCAAGATCCATCAGCCTTCTGGGTTCCCTGTTTGCACTTTCATGATAGTGTAGACCAGCGGTTCTCAACTTGTGGGTCGTGACCCCTTTGGGGGTCGAACGCCCTTTCACAAGGGTCGCCTAAGACCATTGGAAAACATATATAATTACATATTGTTTTTGTGATTAGTCACTATGCTTTAATTATGTTTAATTTGTAACAATGAAATTGGGGGTCACCACAACATGAGGAACTGTATTAAAGGGTCGCGGCATTAGGAAGGTTGAGAACCACTGGTGTAGACAATGGATAGCTTCCAGCAGTCAGTGTATGACTTTGTCTAAACAAGGGTTGGTTTTATGAGAGTCTTGAGAATGTATGGACAGTCTCACATTTGAATCACAAGTGGGGAATGGTGGTTTTTTTGTGGTAAGCTGTTTTTTGGATCTTAAAAGGTTGCAGAGATTTTGCAACCATCAGTATTTCCCAGGATCATGAGCTCAGAGTTCAACATTGTCACCCAGAAGTTAAGGGCCAGGTAATAAGATTCCAACTTCTACCCTTTCTTTCTCCAGCTCTTCGAAGGCGCAAGGGCCTTACCAGGATTCCAGAGCCCGAGGTCTTCTCAGCCTCCCCAAACCCTCTGAACTGGTTTGGAATCCTGGTTCCACATAGCCTACGGCAAGCCCAAGCCAGCTTCCAGGAGGGTGAGTGGACTCTGCCAGTTGACCATGTGGCTCTAAGCCAAAATTGGACCCTCTAATGCCAGGACTGGGATTAGTCTACAAAGGGTTTTGCAGGTTTTCTCCATTGCATACTTTTGTTGCATGCCTGCTGTTTTTTCTGAAAGCATTTACAGCATCTTGGCAGTGTTCTAGGCTCATGATCAGTGCTGGGATACAGCAGGAAATGAAAGGGACAAATATCCTCATAGAATGTTATACTATTGAGGGGAGAAAGACAACCTGCAAATAAGTAAGTAATGAGAATTGTAATGCAAAAATAAGATAGGGTGTTGTAGATGAAATGAGACAGGAATGGTCTGGGGGAACTGTTTTATGAAGGTGATCTGGGGGAACAGTGTTCTAAGCAGAGGGGCCAACTGGGATGAAAAGGCAAGATTGTGTGGGCCATTGCAGAGAAGAGGCCAGTGGACTAGAGTTGGTGCAGCAGAGAGAGCCAGGAGCTGTGGTTAGAGGGCTCTAGGCTCCGATAATTTGAGGGCTGAATAGGCCCTGTTGAGGACTTTGGGAATAATGGGGTAGACTTGCAGCCTGACAGGAATCCAGTGGATTCTGCGTGAGAACAGATGAGCAGAGGTATTAAGTAGCCACCAGGGAGCAGCCAGACTTAAGATGCAGGTAGAGGTTGGTACATACTAGATCTCAAGGCCTCCCTTTTACTTTTTTATGGCTTTCCCAGAATTTATGAGAATCATCTGGCAATTTTTTCTTGACAAGTCCCAAGACTACTGACTTTGTCTTTTGAGAAAAACTCCCTCTACTCTCCTCCTCCAAATGACTGACTTCTTTGTTTGGTGGGCAAGATAAACTCCCCCTTCTTTCCCCTTCCCTTCCCCCTCCTTTTCTGCATTCTTTGGTTAGGAAGGAGAGGTATTAACCATCTGTTCTCAAGTGTCCTTGGCTGGGAAAGATAAGATCTTGCTGCAGACTAGCTGCAAGTTGCCCAAGCTGTTTAGCCTTGTTTTAATTTTCTTGTCTCAGTTTCCTCCTGCACTGGAATCTTCTTAGCTTCTTAATATCCTTCTATAGAACCCCCCAGGATTTGCTGACAAATCAATTTGGGAATAAGGGAAGGATAGGAGTGAAGGATGAGCCCACTGGCTAGTCAGGAATCCTGGGAGGATGGAGCTGCCCTCACCAGGTGTGGGAGGAATGCAAAGCAGCAGCTGAAAGGGTATGGTTGTGTTCCTAGTGGTGGAGATTCTGTGGGCAGTTGCACACATGCATCTGGAGTTTGGAAGAGGCTTCAGCTGGAGAGAGATTTCAGAGCCCACCACATAACTCTGGTATTTAAATTCCTAAGTTTCTGACACATGTAGCATCTTAAAGCTAAGATGGAGTAAAATCAGCAGGTGGACAGGAAGTGAAGGAGAGGAAGCGGGGAACCATTAGAGGAGACTGAGAAGCAGTAGTGAAGCAAGAGTAACACCTAGAGGGTGAGGTGTCCCAGAAGCCAAAAGGAGAATGTGTTTCCTGGATGGAGTTGATCAGATGAGTGGCCAGCTCTGCTGCTGGATAGGTAGGCTGAAGACAGGACTGGCCAGTGCATTGGTTGGCATGGAGGCCCAGAGGATTTAGCAGCAGCTATTCCAGCAGAGGCATCAAGCAGAAGCCACCTAAATGTGGATCCAGAGTATGGAATACTGTTGGAGGCAGAGAAAACAGGTGGAAGGAGTGAGGGTGAAAGCCGCGAGGGACTGTGGTAATGGAGAAAAGAAGGAAGAAAATAAGAGCATGAGACAGTGTGTGTAACGATCTGTGGATTATTAGTTCCTGGTGGGTGACAGAAGGGGGTCAAGAAAGTCTTTTGAGGAGGTGACATTTTAGCAAAGACCTGAAGAAGGTGAGGGTGTGGGTCCAGTGAGGTTTGGAGCAGCCATTGCAAGAGTGTACCTGGAATGTTTTAGGAATAATAGAGGCCTAGCGCCTTTCCAATGCCTGGGAATGCCCAGATTCCCTTAAGTCATGTGTCAAACTACAGATACCATGGTGACAATTTCTCCCCTTCCTCTAGGCCTGCAGCTGGCTGTAGATATGGCCAGTCTCCAGATCCACATCAACTGGGGTCGAAGCCAGCTTCGAGGGCTCCAGGAGAAACTCAAGCAGCTTGAGCTTGGGGCTGCCTAACCTGTGGCCACAGAAGAAGACCATGAGTTCAGTTCTTTGATGTGGTTGCTTTATCTCAGGCCTTCTTCCTTCACAGCTTGCTTGGCCCCTACCACTACCACCCCATCCCAGACAGCTAATCACCCCCACCTTAAAATTTTTCCAGTCTGCTGTTTCCAACTTTGTTATATGTGGAAGTTTAAAGAGACAAACTAAGTAATGTTCAAAGTCACTACTATGAAACCACTTCCAGTCCTTGTTCTAGGACACACTCATATGGGGAGGGTCAAAGCTGTTAGGTTAGTTTATATTAGGGAGCAACAGAGCAATCGCATGCATAAATCACTGCAGAAGAAGTAGTGCATAGCTAGTGGCAGAAAGGACAAGAAGTAGGTGCTGCAGTTTCACTAGATCCTCAAAACTGATTTTGATGAAAAGAAAAAAAGATACATGGCTAACAGATCAGGAGAATGATTTCACGTCTATAACAAACACAATTACCTGCATACATGGGCAGCCCTTGGCAGGTTTTAAGCCAAAAAGTAAAAAAGATCTAACCTAGATTTTCAAATGAACTATAGGAAGAGACCTTTCAGGTTTTGAAACACCTGCCTTCTGTCTTTTCAGTAGTGAGGCTGAACCTTTTGTAATTTGTTAAAAGGCCAGTTGTATTTGCTATTCTGGGATCTCTGTCCTTATTTCATTTTCCTACTGGATTGTGGATATTTTTCACAGTTTTTAAAGAGCTAATGTTTATGCTTGGGGAAAATTGGTCCTTTGTTCACAATATGAGTGATTTTCCTAGTTTGTTTTTTAACTTTATGGTGTGTGTTTTTTTTAATGGTTTTTTAAAAAATAACTTTATTGTAAAATAAAACATACTACATTATAGAACCACACAGAATAATTGAAAAGCTTAATGAATAATTAAGGTGAAAGCTATAGTAACTATCACCCAACTTGTGTTTCTTAGCCTGTTTTGTTTTACATTTTATTTTTTCATCACCATTTATCCCCATATACCCTCTTCCAACCTCTTCCTCCCCGCTGCAATCACCACACTGTTGACCCTGTCCATAAGTTCTCCTTTTTTTTTTCTCAATCCCTTCATCCCCCACTTCAACCAGAGCTTTAATTTCACTAGTAGTGATCTAATCACATTCCCTGGTTCTTCCTGATTTAGTTTTGGAAGATTATATGTTTCTAGAAATCTATCCATTTCTTCCAGATTTCCAATTTGTTGGTATATTTCTTAGAATTCTTTGTATTTCTATGGTGTCAGTTGTTACTTTCATTTCTGATTTTATTTGAATCCTCTCTATTTTTTTCTTGATGAGTCTTGTTAAGGGTTTGTCAATCTTGTTTCTTTTCAAAGAACCAGCTCTTGCTTTCATTGACCTTACTGCTATTTCATTTCTACTCTGATCTTTATTATTTTCTTCCTTCTGCTCTAGGCTTTCTTTTTTTTTCAGATTCCTTTAAGTATAAAGTTCAATTGTTTATTTGCGCTTTTTGTTGTTTCTTGAGATCGACCTGTAATGCTATGAATTTATCTTTTAGGACTGTTTTCCCTGTGACCCACAGATTTTGGGTTGTTGTGTTCTCATTTCATTTGTTTCAAGGTATCTTTTGATTTCTTCCTTGATCTATTGTCAAGCCATTCATTGTTTAGTAATATGTAATTTAGTCTCCATATCTTTGTGGGTTTTTCAGTTTTCTTCTTGTGATCAAGTTTCATGGCATTATGGTCAGAGAAGATTCTTGATATGATTTCAGTGATAATTTATTGAGACTTGTTTTATATCCTAACATATGGTCTATTCTAGAAAATGTGCCATGGGCACTTAAAGGGAATGTATATACTGCTGTTTTGGAGTGAAATGCTCTGATGATATTAATTAAATCCATTTGGTGTGGTGTGTCACTTAAGACCACCGTCTCCTTGTTGATTTTTCTGTTTGGATGATCTTTCTATTGATGTCAATGGGGTGATAAAATCCCCTACTATAACTGTATTACTGTCTTTCCTTTTATGTCCATCAAGATTTGCTTTACATATTTAGGTGCTCTTACTGTTCATTACATAAATGTTTACAAGAATTATATCCTGTAGGTGGATTGCTCCCTTTATCATTATGTAGTGTCCTTCTTTGTCTATTACTATAGCCTTGGTTTTAAAGTCTATTTTCTTACATAGTATTGCTACCCAAGCTTTTATTTCTTTTCCATTTGCATGAAATATCTTTTTTCATCCCTTTACTTTTTGTCTGTATCTTTTGTTCTGAGGTGGACCTCATGAAGGCAACATATACACGAGTCTTATTTTCTTATCCATTCAGCTATCTTATGTCTTTTGATTGGAGCATTTAAGTCTTTACACTTAAAGTGATTATTGATAGGTATGTATTTATTGCCATTTTATTTTTTAAATTATGTTCCTGGTTTTGTTTTGTTTTGTTTTCTTGTTCTCCTTCGCTTCTCTTTTTTTTATTTTTTTATTTTTTTACACGAGTCTTTTTCTTATCCATTCAGCTATCTTATGTCTTTTGATTGGAGCATTTAAGTCTTTACACTTAAAGTGATTATTGATAGGTATGTATTTATTGCCATTTTATTTTTTAAATTATGTTCCTGGTGTTGTGTTTCTTTTTAAAGAAAACCCTTTAGCATGAGTGAGGGGGGGGTGGGTGGGGGGGCAAT